CCTCTTTCTCTCTCTCCCCCCTCTTTCTCTCTCTCCCCCCTCTTTCTCTCTCTCCCCTCTCTCCCCTCTCTCTCTCTCTCCTCTCTCTCTCCTCTCTCTCTCTCCTTTTTTTGAGGAGAATTTTATATAGATGAGTTCAAAGTGCAACGTGCATTGTTCTAATGTTTTTACATAGGCCACATTCTCAGCATGCTCCATTTCTTCATCTACTGTTCTTTTTTCCTGTATATTCATTCTGTATTTTCTTGAAATACATCCAAATCGTTTGGAAGGAAAGTTATTTCTGCTCTCTCGTTCATATGCTTCATGATCCCCACTGCTATATTCATCCGAAATTTACATCTGGAGCTGTCTGCTGAAGGATTATTTGCTCTGATAATCACCTGTGAATTGGTTGCTGCTACATCAACCATTCTAAAAAATGTGGAATCTTCTTGTCTTTCGTGTTTTCATACAACAATACTAACACTTTTGGTCTACATCAACACCTATCTTGTTCTATGGGTTTCCAGAAAAATTGTTGGCTTGTTTGTTTTCTCCTCAATTTCTCTATTGTCGTGAATTGTTGATAATATCACAGATTTTTCTCTTTGGAACATATGATAGTTATATGATGTAAGATAGAATGAAGTCCTCTTGATATCCTGTCAGGAATCTACTTCTTTTGACTTCTTGGCAAGGAATTCCTTTGGTGTTTCTCATTTCTTATTTTTTATTGTTCCCAAGAATTTGATTCCCTTGTTCGAAAGATATTCAGCCAAGGGATAACTACTGTAATAGTTGTCAGTCATGAGATTGCTTTCTGAAGCAGATTACTCAGAGTCATTGTGATGTTTATCTTTCAAGTAATTTATTTTTCACCAAAATTTGCCTCTAGGAGTTTTCGTTGTCCAGTGTGATTTTTGTTTTAGAAAATTTTTCTTTCGTACTTGAAGATGTTATTCAGAGACTGCTGTAAATTAATGTTTTAGCTACTCTGCATTCTTTTGTGCTGTACTTCAGAGGAAGCAAAGAATTTTTAAAAAAATAATTTTTCGGGACGCCTGAAACACAACACGAATTTAATTTAACCTTTTCAATGTAAACTCTTAACACTTCTCCAGTAAGACTATGACAGTTTTAGACATATTTTTGGGATGGGATTGGTGCTTAGTATTGCAAAACAATGTGATTGTAGGCTTCCACAAAAATGCCTTCAATGTGAGTGCTGAATTGTATTTCTTCGCTTCGCAACGTCTTTAAGGAGAGGGACCATGCGTCATGGGGGGCAGGGGGACGGCAACTGTAATATTCTCGATAAAAGCTATCCTTCAATACTGACAGGAACCTATTAATTTGCTCAGAAAGTTATTTAAGTGGGCTGTTGATAACGTGAAGAACATTACCTTTATATTTTTAGCAGCGGCGAACAATACTTCAAAAAAGGACAATTGCAACAATGATATAATAAAAACAGTAGAAGACACAAAGAAAATTCACAGTTACATTTCTTATGTAAAAGGTAAATTAACGATAATCTCTTTAAAATGAAGAAAAAGAAACACTAATACTAAATTGAATCGGCTTGACACTTTTTAATTTGAATTTAATCTGCTATGAAGGTCATATGAATGTATATAGCACATACTAAGATGTGAAGGGATACTTCAATTTATTGCTCTTGTAAATGTATATGATGGTAATCATCTACTGCTGATTGGCACGTGCTTGAGGGGTGATGCTCTAGCAGATGCCCCAGCAAAACAGCAAGTAGACATTTCTATTGTATTTAATTTCCCAAAATTTTCTCAATGTTGTTCCATGTTACTTATCCAACTGGTATAGAACATTTTAGAGATTTCAGTGATATTAGTTTCAAATTTTTAGAGTGTCAAATTTTGAAAGAAAGAAAGTAAAAAAGTTTTTTAAAAAAATTTTTTTTTTTTTTTAATTAATTATTGAATTCAATATATATGTCAGATGAAAGGTCATCTTTTGTTCTTTGATGTCGCAAAATATTAAATTTCTGTCATAATTACAACACAGGTTATAAATGATTAACTTTAATGCAGTGAGAAATTTTTTGAAAATTTTGAAAATTAATATAATCTCGAAAAATTATATCTGGGAAAGAATTAAAAACACTTGATTCACCCTTCTTCCTTACCCGGGTCAGGGAATAAGAATTCGTGTTGACACACAGACGTGCGCGCGCACGCACACACACACACACACACAAAATTATATCACATATCGCAATGTAATTTTAAAGTTGCGATTTAGGCAACATGCTGAAGCTAGTAAGTTGCAAAAGAAAATGTAGTTTCTACATTTCCGGATTCCTGCGGCATTCTCCTGCTGACCTTTCAACTTCGAGCAATGCTCACCATTGACAAAGCAGGAGGACATCTCTAACATGTGGCTCACATGTGTTAAATAACCTTAAAATAGAATACGCGAGATAACTAGCATCATAAGGAAAAGTTCCAGCACTTAGAACTGTAGTGCACCTGCTTAAGGGATAATTCAATCCCCTTCAGTTTTAGTAAATGCTGTTAAGAAAACGTCATAACTGCGCTGCTTCTTCATGAAACTACCCTTCTCTTTTTTCCACAGAGTAACTAATGTGTTTTTTTTATTTTCCAGATGAACAACCATACATTTTGGATGATCCAGAATTTGAAAAAACTTATAAATTTAATGTGACAAACATTCTCAAGAAGCCATCTCGAAATGAACTTTTCAAGGTGTGTTTTAACCTTATTTAGAGATCCAAATGTGATAGTTTTCTTAGAGAGATGAATTGATTGATTGATTTGCAAATGTGAAGTATATGTAGGATACATTTCTATCAGAAAACAAGATATTATCAGGGGTATTCATTAAAGAATACATAACCTTATTCTTTTGACATTTTGAAATTACATCCTAGAATACTTACTCAACTCAACACAATAGTTTTCAGATATTTATATTGTGACCATCATAAAAATAAATTTGCTGAATGATTGTATTCATGTACAACATTATTTTTTTTCTTAAGGGAAACCTTATATTGCAAAGCTCTTGCAAAATAGATCCAAAAATAAATAAATAATTCTTCACTTTCTTTATATTTTTTCATGATTTATTAATTGTATTTGAATGGAGTTCTTGACCTTTAGTGCAATTTAGTTTTAATTTTTTTTTAAATAAACAAAGCAAAATTTTTAAAATTTATCATTATTTTTAGGCAACTTTCTGAGATATTATTTGTAAACAGAAACATATATTATTCAGTTCACAACGAAATAAGTCAATGAGAGTGAGTCATTAACCACAATTTTTACCTTTTTCAAGTTGACCCTGCCACAAATCTCTATTTCCGTTCAGTTTCCATTACCTAACCATATGGTAGAAAAACACCTAACCGATATTCTTGGTCTTCCATAGATTTGCATGCTTGCCAAACTTACACAATCACTTTTTGTAACTTAAAATTGCATGAATGTATTATATGATAATATTTCACTTAGCTCTTCAGTGATCAAGTTCACATGTGCTATGTTACATGAATTTCAAATCAATTTCTGATCCATCCAAAATTAATTATTTTATATTTTTTCCTGAAATTTACTAAATTAACATGGTAAATCGATCTTCAAGTCATTTAATCATTCTAAATATTCTTCATATGGGTGCATAATAATAAACATTTGTTCTTTATGTACATCTTTTGTATTTTGGTCTTTGGTTCAATGCCATTTTGGAAAATTAATGCTATTTACATTTTGAACAAGTATCTTATTTTTAGCTGCATTTTATTTTTATATTAAACCTCCTTTCAACAATCTTTCTGTGTTGCAGGGTCGAGTATTTTATTTGACCCCCAGTGTTGTGCCTTCTCCTCGGAGTCTAACAGAAATCATAGAATGTGCTGGTGGGATAGTAGAGAGACGTCACAGACCACCTAAGAACTTACAGGATACAGCCCGTAGTGGCAGCCAGCACATTGTCATCACAGCAGAGGATGATCTCCACTTGCTGACTGACTTGGGAGATTATCGTATGAATGATTTTTATTTGTTTATTTACTAGTAAATGTAACTTGACATGCCTCAAGTATTTATCACAACCATTTATTATATAGGAAAAGGAAAGAAATCTACTTACAGTTTAAAGTAGAAACAATTTTATTTATGCTTCTACTAATTTTGTTTTACACGATTTCTTGTACACATTAGATAAGCTTCCTTAATCCTAAAATATATTTTTTGTCTATGTGTTTATCTGTTGCAGAGGTTTATAATGGAGAATGGGTCATGCACTGCATCATGCATCAGGAGATTCTATATGAGAATAAGGAAGAAACAACACCTTCACGCTAATTCGATCTTTATAAGATTAAGAATTTTCTTACATTAATTGCATTTTTTTATCTCTATTTCAAGTTTTGTGTTGTGTTTTGAATTTCAGAATTTTACTGTTTTGTATTAAATATTTTTAACAATAATTTTTGTATATCGAAGAGAGATCTGCATTTGCATTTAACTTACTCGAAGTAAAATAGAACAACTACTGACCAAAGAAAAACATTTTTTGTTCTGCCATTTGTATAATGTATAAACATACTGAAACATGTCAAGAAAGTGATCAAACTTATTAGGTGGAACACATTCAGATGGGTTTACTATTTCTAGGTGACTGCCATTTGTGTTAAAATGACAGTGGAGGTATTCCTTGTTTGAAATCATATTTTTGCAGTTGAAATGTCTGATTCTTAGAGAATTTGTTACAGAATTATTTAACTGAGAGTTGTAGAAAATTATTTATTCTATTTGGTATGCTAGGGTATGTAATGTGGAGGGAAAGATAGTTTTGGGATGTAAAATAAAACTAGACTTTCTAAAACAGTCTGCTAGTTAAGATCCTTTTTGAATTTCCTTCATGTTGCATGATGTTGAATTTTGAAAAATGTGCTGTTGTGGAGAAGTTTGTGTAGAATTGTTATTTCTAATGCTTGTTTCATGCTTTTTGTATTCAGAAATGTATGTACTTCCAAAGTGTACAGTTTGTGAATATTTTTGAAAATAAAATAGTTGGAAATTTGAAAATGGTTTATGAATTTCCTGCACCCATGATCCTTGGTCCTTTGTGCAGTTTTTCTTAAGATACCAATAAAATACTGATGAAGTTCTGCTTTTTAATGACTATTCCACTCGTGAAATTAAAACCAACAGTGTGTAACTGTACATACAAAATGCCTCAATCAGGGTGGTGTAGTTAAAAAAGTTTGTTGCTTCTTCAACCTGATTTTTCTTACCTCCTCCCTACTAGCTAATCATAAACTGTGTCTTGTCTATCATACGAGTTGGTATATATTGATTGCTATATCAGTGTCCAATATACCACTTATCTTCAATAGCATAACTTCTTTGATTTTAACATATCTTTAAGTTATTTTCAATATTTGGTTCAATTTGGAACTGTTGGACATAATTTTGTTTGTGGAATAGTCCTATTAACTACCACTCGAGCTTTGGAATTTCCCAGATAAATCTGCTCGTTAGCAAGTCTGGGTTTTATCGAGAATTTCCAAAGCAGCCACGGTATTACCTTTGATAATCCCTTCGATAATTTTATAAATGCAAAACTTAATCAATTGTGGATGCTCTCAACAAGCCACAATTACAATTTTTATGCCATTCAGTCTTGCTGTAAGCATGTTTTAAAAAATAATTCATGTTCATTTTTGTTTTATGAAGTGTATCATGAATGAATACTTGCAGTTAATAATAGAATAACAGATCCAAAGAAACAGCATTGTAAATAAGGCACTAAATACTAGAAAATACTTGCTACATATCCACTGGACTTTTTGTGATGCATTATACCTTCCTTTTGAATTTATGAATACAAAGTAGGAAGTGAAAATGTCATTTGGTTGAAACTTGGTAAGCTTAATTTAATTAAATTAAATGAGTTGTTTCACAAATAGACTTGTAAGAAACCATTCAAATTGCTCTGGTGTTTCCTGAAGAATACAGCAATTATTGTAAAGTATAATAACCTAACTGACCTGTCACATGAATATAAATGTATATGTGAAGAAAAATTTTATTTTAATTGTGGAAATTAACTCTGGAAACATAATTAGTGTCTTCAAATTATTACTGTTGATAATACTCTTAATTTAATACATAAATTAAATAAAGTATTCATATTATTTACAATTCTTTATCACAGAAATATTTCTTTCTCCTCCAGCCAGGAGTGATGTAGAAAGCGAAACCCTCCATAGTTCATAGCTGTCACTAAAATGTTGAATGAACGTTAATGTAAGTTAAGCGGCCCGCCACAAGCGTCCGCTTACTCTGTGACTTGTGTGGTTACTACTCTTGGCTCTCCTCGCCTGATCCCCGCATCCACTTCCTTCCCTTCTCTTCCCGTCCTGTCGATCGCTCTGCGACCTTCAGGGACCTCCGCGATTTTCTTTGCATTAAGAAGTCCGTTAAACCTTTTTTTCGTCCGTAAAAAATGTTTTCCAGACTTCTTCGAGTACAGGCTATTGCTGCCCTACAAAATAATGGCAAGAACTTATCTACAAGTGCCCAGGTAAAATTTGAAAAATGGGTATTATACTTTTACTTAGTAATATGTTCACTAAATATTTCCTGTTTAAAATTCCAATAGTTCTTCTTTACAGACGAAGCGAAAGTTTTTAAAATAAATTTTACTCAATAGACTAATATTTGTCGAGTTGTCGTTCTTAACCTCGAAATATAAAACCCTTACGTAGGAATTGGTTTTCGTCGGCAAAACAATTTTTTTGGAATTTCACTGTAATTTCTTTTTTTATCAGTGTTCATAAAACGCTCTCGTGCAGAAACACCAGTCAGCTGCACTTCTGTTATCTTCCAAGTACTGTCAAGTACTCTTATCTAAGCCTCACCCCATAAATTGTACTGTCATCTTGGTCTTGTGATTATTGATTTCCAAATTTTATTTCCACTTTTTTGTTTGGCTTTTAATCGATTATGTATAGTGAAGGAATTTGGGTCCATATGGAAAGCAAATTTTTTAACCATAATTTAAGGTTATAAAATAAATAACGATTGCAAAATTTGTCTGTCTATAAATACGGACCCAAACTATTAAACAATATAAAATCCTAAATTTTGAGTTCAAGTAAATATTACTATTTAATGAGAAGGTTGGTCCCCTTTTTTGTTTAGAGGAGAAGTGAATCAATCTGATTGTCATATGTTACTAAGAATATTCATAGATCAAAACAAATCTTAAATCAAACAAGTCAACACACTTCGTAATAAAATAAACTCCCAATACATTCCTCTTGAAATACTTTTCCAGATACTGGGAAACAGGTGCATTTCTTTCAGTCTATTATAGCATACAACTTCAATTTGGCATTGAAATACAGAGAGGTGCAACAAAAAAATATAAATAGATTAATGATCCTAAAAAACAAATGTATCAGAAGAATTTTCAAACTGAAACCGGGACAGTCGTGTAAAGAATTCTATATCAAATATAAATTACTGGCTGTTGTAGTACTACTCTTACAAAGTATTACTACTATTGAGAAATAATCGGAATCAGTATCTTGTGAGTAATAAAGAAATGCCTAACTACCATACTAGAGGACATTTGAAATATTGCAGGATATTTACTAGCATGTCTTCAACTAACAACTAGCGTCACAGCTTATTAATAATCTCCCATTTACTATAAAATCAGCTGATAATAAATACTTTAAAACATTGTGTAAACTTCACCTTATTACTGTGTCTCCATATAAGATATCTGAATTGCTTTAATGTTTTTTTGAAATAAAAAAAAACTCATGCTTCTACAGGAGTGACCTCACTGTACCACTCATTCAGGCTTTTTTCCCCCTGTGTGTACTTATTAGTATTAATAATGAACATTAATTTTTCAATTTTTTTGCAAAATATAAATTTAACCTAAAGAATGAAATGCATAAAAACCATCATCGTCTGTTTTCATCATCAATAGCAAGATTGTAGGTCTGGTGCCTGTTCCTGTTAAAAGACAGTAGATCTGGTGATTATTGCTCCAAAAGTTCCTGAACAATCCATCAGTTGTTGGGTCTTCCTATATTTCTTGTCCCTATAGGTTTATACTTCAAAACAGTTTTAGAAAATATTTCCGCTTGCATTCTTCACACATGTGAAAGCTATCTTCTCTGGTTCTCTTTAATCTCATCCACTATACTTTTTGCGTTGAATTGTTTTTTCTTCCTGATTTCAGTTTTGTTGTTTTTTGTCAATCTAAATGTGTAATTCCTCATAAAAAACATATTTTAAATTAAATATTTAATACATATTTTAATTTATATTATATATTTTTAAATAATATGATTATTGTTATAATATGATTTAAAATAAATCACAAAATTCTGGAAAATGTCTTAATGTGTTTAATAATTTTAAAAAATTAAAAAATTTAAATTTTAAAATTTAAAATAATTATAAAAAAATTTTTTTTTTTGAAGAGTTGATATGTCTATGAATCTTAGTTATTAATATTCATGAAATAATTGTAAATAAAATGTATGAAAAATTTATTAAGGTTGCTAATGTAGTATTTGATTTGCAGAGCAATGCCAAAGTTGCTGTTTGTGGTGCAAGTGGAGGGATTGGACAGCCTCTATCACTCCTCCTGAAGCAGTCCCCAATGGTGACTGAGCTATCCCTTTATGACATTGTGCACACACCTGGTGTAGCAGCTGATCTTAGTCATATTGATTCTAACTCAAACGTAAAGGGTTTTGCTGGCCCTGAACAACTCAGGGTGAGTACATTTTGTCTGGTTTCATGAAGTTATATTAAAATTTACTCTGTGAAGAGACAGAAAGAAAAAGTGAGGAAAGTAAAGGAAATAAAATTCATTGGGTTTACTGAGAAAAAAAATAATTCAGAAGCCACTTCTGAATGTTGAAACCAATTATGTAAACTTGTACAAATTCTAATCATGAAGACTTAATTCTTCGTTTTAGAGGTGGTTTATTTAAATTTGAATGTTGTGACAGATGTGAAAATTTATTAAAATTACTTTACAAATTGTAAATTAGTAATAATTGTACAAGTGATTGATGTGATGTAGAAATAGAAACTAGATGAAGAATGTAAAAAGTTAAAATACTTAAAAAGAGGGTTAACAAATTTGTCTTGTGGTCATATTTGCATTGTAATCAGCTGTAATGCTTATAGGATGCTCTGAAGGGTGCAGATATAGTCATCATCCCTGCTGGTGTACCCCGAAAACCTGGTATGACACGTGATGATCTTTTCAACACAAATGCGTCTATTGTGCGGGACTTGGCCCAGGCCTGTGCTGAAGCATGCCCAAAAGCTCTTATTGGCATCATTTCCAACCCTGTGAGTAGTGTAGTGTTTTATTAATTGAATAATCTCAACATATGAACTTGTTTAAATTAATTTCTAGGCCATTTGAGTATGTTCAAATTATTACAGAAAATAACATTTAACATATTGAATTTTGTTTGCTTTCTAAAAGATCTATTATATATTTCTCATTTTAAAATAGTCTTAAATTTATTTTGTAGAGATTCAGCTACTGTGTTTTGTATATGTGACTATATATTTCTTATTCAGTTGTTTTTATTGTAATATATGTTTAATATTAGTTGAGGGGTTGTGGTGTTTTTTTAATCCAAAACATCCCATTTTGTGTAAAGATGTTTTTACATAATTGTGAGAAGTACTAACAGTGGTTTTGGTTCAAATACCACATCATTTAATATTGACAATGACATATGGTTTTACTTCGAAAGCTGATTTTTGTTGTATTTAAAAAATTACGATTGCTAACAGGTTAACAGCACAGTTCCTATTGCATCTGAAGTGCTACAGAAGGCTGGTGTCTACGACCCCAATCGTGTGTTTGGTGTCTCTACTCTGGATGTTGTGCGAGCTAATGCCTTTATTGGACAGGCTAAGGTGAACACGTCTTTACTCAAATCTTCTTTAATAAAATGATATTATATAGTTGTTTGCACAGTATAGTCTTGTTCCACTGAGAAATGAGTATTTTAAAATTTGCATTATAGTCTATAGTTTTGAATGGCAGTAAGAAACAGAGCTTATGTCATGATCATTGTTTTAGAATGAGAGTATTGTGCAACTAGAACAAGATTTGTGAAAGTTTGAAATGTATATAATTTTGGGTAATTTTTGTTTTATAGAATATTGACCCACAGTCTGTTAATGTGCCAGTAGTTGGTGGACATTCTGGAGTCACCATTATTCCCCTCATCTCTCAATGCAAGCCCAGTGTCAGTTTCCCTAATGACCAATTGAAAGCCCTCACAGAGCGCATCCAGGTAAATAGTTACTACTTTGTGAATATCATATTAGGTATATTTAATACAACTATCATATTTAAAAAGATTGACAATTATCATTATAAATATAATTTTGCCTTTAGATTACATGTAGTGCAATTTCTTTGGAGGTAGAGAAATTCTGTTCATTTGTGTATTGCTTACATCATGGTAATGGTTCTGTGCAGGAAGCAGGCACAGAAGTTGTGAAAGCTAAGGCAGGAGCTGGCTCTGCCACACTTTCCATGGCGTATGCTGGTGCGAGGTTTGCCTTCTCTCTGTTGCGTGCACTGAAGGGTGAACAGAACATTGTAGAGTGTGCCTATGTGCGCTCCAACATCACAGAGGCCAAGTATTTCTCAACACCTCTGCTCCTTGGGGTAGGTTTTTGATTAATGTTTAGTATGTTTTATTCATTACTATTGAAGTTTGTAAAAATCAAAAATGACTTTTGTTTAAAGGTTGACATTTTCCACTGTTATGTTAATAAGCTATTTCTTTTTGTCAAATTATGAAAGTGTTGGTTATCCATGGGTGTTCAATCTTAGTTCTTTATCCTTGGAAGTCGGCAGAACAATTTGTGAATCACACTACTTTTTAAAACAAACTCACCACTGCATTTTTTATTTTATTTTCCCCTTTTTCTCTCCCCCCCCCTTTATTAATCTTCTTGAGATAATGTCTCAGGTTATTACATTTTGTTCTTTTGATATAGGGTGTTTAGCCATCTCTTTGAAAAAACATTAAAATGTAACAAAATTTTTGCAGCCTAATGGTATCCAAAAGAATCTAGGCTTGGGCTCCCTGTCAGATTTTGAGAACCAGTTGTTAAAAGCAGCAATTCCTGAACTGAAGAAGAATATACAAAAGGGTGAAGACTTCGTAAACAAGAGCAAGTAGAGACTTCCAGCAACCTGCTGCACTTGCGGGTGCCACTTGCCACGCGTTGCTGCCATTGCCAGAGTGACTGTGTGGGGTGTACATAATTGTAGACTGAATACTTTGTATAGAGAAACCATAAAAAAATAAAAATGCTTATGCACGGGTATATATATTGTACATGAGAAAACCATGATCAATCATGAGTGACCTGAACCAAACCCAATTGTATTGTTATTTAAATAAATGAAAATCTTCAAGGATCTGTCCTGGGAGACTGCTTTACACTGTTCATTTTTGTACATAACTACTTGTGTTTCTTGGAGTTGGCTGTTTATGACAACAAATGCGAACCTGTTAATGAAAAGCCTTTTGCGATGTTACTGAGCAGTCAAATTGTGAGCTGTACAAACTACCTACTACTACATTTACTATTGAGATATAAATTTCAATTTCTGTTTGTATTTAAATGTTGGCTGAGATTAGTGGTAGGAGTTGCCTTTATGAAAAGTAATGGGATTATGTGACTTCAACTAAGCTGCCCTGTCCAAAGTTATTTCAGAGGTGTATTAAAATAAAATTTAGTACCAGGTGTTTAATGTGAGTATGTGAGAACTAGTTTTCAATACACTTTCCATTTGAAGAGACGAATATTCTTCAGGTATAAACACTACCCCCCTATTGTTTGGCAATGTTAAACTCTTTGCCTTTTATACTTCTGTGATCTCTTTAATCTGCTTTGCATTTGGCTGTCCTAATTATCTAGTTGACAATTTTTTGTTTTGCCCAAAGTTTTGATTATAAATTAGGTGCTGGATAAAAATCTCTGAAATAGTGTTGTTCATTTTTTTCTTTAAATATTTTCATTTCCACTCATTTTAATATTTATGAACTTAGGCTTATCTTAAAACAATATTTCAGAATCAATTCTTGACAAAGTTGCCTTGATATTTCAGGATATTATCAGGGGTAAATAAAATTAAAAAATAAAGATTGTAGTTTACTATTGGAATTTCATTGAGCAATATGTTGAAATGGGAATGTAAAGAAGTTTAAAACCACGTGTTAGAATTTACACACTAACCAACATATATAAATTCACCACGTAAGTGAGAAAATGAAATCTTCGATAGTGAAGGGCATTTGGAATATGAATCTGCAACCTGAAGAAAATCAACGCTTTAAACTAACGAATGTCAAATTGACCGTGAAAGTTATGAGGATCTTGACGCAAAGAGCCTTGCTTCGCGGCAAGGGAGGTCACCTTGCGCGTATTAACGCTCGAGTCTATTTTACCTACAGAGTTGATCTATTTGTCTGAAAATGAAAGTTACAGCTCTCCCAAATAAAGGAGGTGGTTTGCATTTCAATGCCCCCAGATGGTCTCTCTTTACATCATCAATCTAATTTTAGTGGTGAGGAAACTGTGACGTCGCAACCAATTGTAGTAATCGCGAATGTATTCTACTTAATGTTCACAGTGATAAAATGGCATGCTTGTAAACAAGCACTAAGTCATCTTACAAATAAAATATCGGAAAAATGTGTTTCAGTAATACACACCAAGAAAAACTGAAGGTATTTTGAGTTGATCCTTTTTTCCTATAAATATGGGCCTCTGGTTGCAAAAGAAAATTCGGAAGCACACAAATATAGATCAGGTCGGAATTATTTCGATTAAAATCAATGAACAATTATCAACATTTTTCGATTACAACGCAAACTTTATAGTGATTGTTGACGTCATAGACATGTAGATCGTTGGAGGACCCCTACGCAGCGACCACCCACATCACTCCGTTTAGACCTCTTGACCTACACCACAGAGTACCCAAGGATAGAGCCACAATTATCCTTCGTCTATGACCCACACCCATTGTGTTCCCCCAAAGAATATTATATACAAATATTATAAGTAGTAGGTACCCCGTGCACCCACACCTCACTCATCGTCCTTGAAGGGCCTTGAAATCAGCTGCCCTGCAGATTTTATTGCAGAATTGATTTTCCTAGCAGTTGTTTCAAAAGCCACGAGAATGCGCTGCATTATTTTTTAAGTTGCGCGCGCACGAGGGTTACGCGCATTGCGTGAATCGACTGTTTGTCTGCAAATGTCATTGGTTTGTTCGAATGGAGCGATGATTTTACCTCTGTATACGACAGAAAATTGTGCTGCTGTGATGAGACGATGTTTGCACTAGCTCTATTTTGTCGACACGTTTAATTTCGAATTTTGGGGTTAATTTGATTATACAGAACCAAGGACGTTTAAAAAAAAACATGTACGACATGCCATGTGCTGGATCCGTTAAGGTGCGGCACGCTATTTTTGACCATGACTGCATTGTATTAATTTTTGCCATGACGTTGTAGAAGAAAGCCGGTTGGTTTGAACATGTTGAAAATGACAGACTTGCCCAGTAACGAACACTTACTGCGTGAACTGTGGTCAGAGAACAAAGTGCAGTGTAAATAAGGTGAGCTAAAGGGGGGTTCTAATACTACTTCTAATAATCTATTAATTGCTTGTCATTATGTCAAGTGTAAATGTTAGCAGTAAATTGAATTATGCGTTTTTTTAGTGCAACATGTTTGGCAAAAGGCGTCGAATGCATAAAAAGAAAGTTGGGAAGAAGTTGCGTATGGAGAAAATGCTTAATAGATTGAAGAAAAAAGAAGCAGAAAATAATATGATTTTAAAGAAGGAAGAATCTTTTGCAATTAGCAATGAGTCCTCGGAGTGTGTGATTGATTGCAATTTGTCTGTAGGAGAATGTATTGAGAGTACTAGTTCAAGTGTGAGAGAAAATGATGAAAACTTGGATCCATTGGAAATGCCTTTCCTTCTGGAAACTGAGAAAAAGAAAAACGAATTTTCTCCACAAAAGAGACCAATTAAACGCACACGAGTTGATGCTAATGTATCAGCTCGTAGATCTGGAAGAAAATGGCCTGTTAGGAATGGCACATCTAATCTTGTCTCATGGCTGAATGCAGCGGAGGAAATATTTGACTCGCCTGAACGACAGTCCAAGAGAAGCTTTGACAGCCCTCTTACTGTACATGAAGACTTGGGTCCCATTAGACAGCCTAAAAAGAGAGCAAAGAGTGCCCATGAAATATTGCATTTTCACCCTAGTGACTTTGAAGAACCAATGGACATATCTCCTGCATCGATTATATCTACCCCAGGGGCATTGGCAAAGAACAAACGCTCCAGAAAGGTTAGTTGCTTGTGTTTACTGGCATTTATTATTTGTTAAAAGTAATAGTTAGCATTTGTCTGCAGGAGAGCAACAACTATTTTTTCACTAATTTTTTGATGAAGATATTGGAAATGCTTAGCATTAGTGTGCTGAGATTAACATTTGTGTTTCTGTTATTTGTTGAGTAATTATACAAATACCAAACCTTAGTTTATAATCAGTTTTGGTTTGTATGGCCAACCTTATTCAATGTTGTCTGATTAGATGATTCTTTCTTGTTCTCTCATTGAAATCTCTTTCTATGTATAATTTTTAAATTAATTTTGAATTCATTTACTTGGGGAGGGAGAAGAAATTTTGTTTTGAGAATTTATCCTAAATTTGATTTGTGTTTTAACTGTAATCCATTTGCTGGAATTAGTGTGTTCTTGATGATTTGAGAGAGAAAAAAATGTTTTGTTGAATAGTTTGAAGTTTTGGACATTGCCTTTTTTAATGTTAAAAATTCAGGACTGTTGTCATAAATAATCATTACTGTTTTGTCTTATCACATAAATTGTATGAATAATGCAAACATATTTTTTTAGAGGAACATGTTATAAAGTATGTAAAGGATGTTTGCTATCAAAAACAATACAAAAATTACCCATGTAGTTTTTTATTTTGTATGTCAATACAATGCTGACAGAAAGGGACTGAATTCTAATTTTCTGAACTCTCATTTTCAGTGTTGGGAAGTTCTATAAACTCCATTTTTGCTGCAGTACTTCAGTTTCAATCATGAGTTTTTCTTTGTCTTAAGAATTTTCTGTATTTCCATCACGTTCGTTCATTCAGCAAAAGTTGTGTTATATCAAAATGATGGTGCACTTTTATCATTTGTGGAAGTTTATGTATATTTAGCTCTAAATTATTTTGGCAATAATTCAACCTAATTTTGTTATAATGCACCGTGTTTGTTTTTCTGTCTTTGACTTCACATTGATTTCAATTTGTCATTGTTTTGCTGAAGTTCCAGTATTTTATTTTTTCCAAAAATCTATACAATTGTTAGTTTTACATTGTACAGTATAAAAAAATACAAGAATTGCAAAGAACAGACAAGAAAACTTTGAAATAGGCGTGAAGAGTAATTAAATAATTATTTCTTTTTTTGCGTGTTTTGTAAAGACAAGGAGGTATTTGCAATGCACTGTTCCTTGAACAGGTGGCCCTGGGCAGCTCACTGACTTTTCATGAGAGAAGCTGTTTTGGGGAGGATGCCCCAGTAGACTCTCAACCCAAAAAGCGTGCCAAAAGTGTGAGTGCAGATGTTTGGGACTTGCACAACAAATGCACACCTTCAACCTCAAGCAATGATGCTGGGCTGGTACAATTTCAGTAACTCTTGCAATATGTGTATAGTTTCTGTTTGTCTTCTGTGTTGCCTGTGTGATGTCCTTATCTTTGGTTTCCTGCTTGGTTCTTTAAATATTCCTTTAAAGACATTAATGTTTATTTATGTTGCCTGCCTGTGGATGATTGCAGTTCCTGATTTTCTTTTTTACTTTGTTAAAGTGGGTTCTATCTATCTTGTGTGTTTATTTTCTTGGGTGTTCCTTTATGAAGGAATGTTTATTTCTTAATGTGTGTGTATTTTTCAAACTCTTTTAAAAATAAAGTCACTGGTGCTAACTAGTTGCAACAATATTTTTGCTGTACTTGTGGCAGCATATCCCATAGCTTAAATTAAGAAGATAAAAAGGGAAAGTGTTGCAATTTTAGAACTTTTACAGTACTTCAAAATTGTATTGCTTGGTAAAAGTTTAAAGAAAAATGTGTTGAATTTTTGTTGAAAAATATGAAAAGTAAAAAATGTGATTCCATGGATTGTAATGAGAAGTTAGTGAAATAAATTAAGGTGAGTGGGGAAATAAAAAGCGTTAATGGCTGTTTCTTGCAGTTAATTAGTACCACTGAAACTATCTGCTACAATGTGATTGTTTTAAAATTAATGTTTCTTAATATTGAACTTGAAACAATAAAATTGGGAATTTCTACAACAATCTTTAACGAACGTCTTTTCGTCTTTCAGCAGGCAAATTGCATGCAGTCAGCCATCCCGCAAGATGTGATTTCAACACAGCAAGAAGAGAAGGACAAGATGAATAAAGATCTTCCTTGCATTAAATCAGTGGAAGGAATTGTCAGTGGTTGTGTATATAAAAAGCTACCTGAAGCTGCAACACAGTGCAACACTGTGCAAGTGTCAGCATCTGCACCCCTCACATCTGTAGACAGTATACAGAAAGAAATACCTATGTCATCTTCCCTTGAAATTCCATGTAGTTCAAAACTAGAAAATTCAGTATGTGTATCAACCATGATAATGCCCCCAGATGAAGGAGTAGCATGCAGAGAAAAAGGAATGTTGTCAACTAAAGAACAAGTTGAATGTGTCATTAATAGGACAGATGATCCTACATTGGAATTGCTTACAACTACTGAGCAAAAATTGTTGTTTCCGATGCAAGATGTGCCGTCTCTTCTATCTGAATGTATTAAATCTACTCTCAAGGAATCTGAGGTGTTGGGACTTAGAGTAGATAAACCAGCTGTAGAAAGCAATGCATCTGAGATAAAGAAAACATCTGCACCTGATCCATTCACAGAGTTGCTTGCATCTGAAAAATGTAGTCCTTTGATGTCCTTCAATAGTTTATCAGTTGTGCCTGTGAAAGACCAAAATGAAAATTTGTCAAGTAGTATGGCAACTGGTACTGAAAATAAAAACATGCTCCTAAGATCTCAGAATGTGAGTCTTTTGTCTTCTACACCTGTTGGTGATGTTCCTCATGACAATTCTTTCAAGCCAAGTACCAATAGAAAGTTGCCAGGAGATTTGGACTTCATTGTGGTTCCAGATCAGGGAGATGTGCAAGAGAATGAACATGCAACTAGTTCAAAAAGTGATCCCAGTAATAAGGTAAGAAATTGAATTTTTTTTTCCTTCCCCCCTTATCTACATAATGAAATATGTTTTGAGTGGAAGAGGTCTTTGTAACCATCAATGTTGTGATGTTGCTTATGAGAAGAAGAAAAAAATGATTTGAATTTTTCTGTTCTATCTAAATCTATAAATCACAAAAGTAATTTGAGGAATGCGAACTCCTCAGACCAATGCAGGCATTGATACAGAATGCATGGTAATGATGAAATGTATCAAGTTTCTTTTTATAGTTTTTGTTAGCTTATTTACCATTTCATATTATTCCATGCTTGAATTTTTAAATTGCATTTTCAACTTCAATTAAAAGATTAAATTTTGGGTATTAGTTTAATCTGATAAGTGTAATGTAAGGTTATTTATGTGGGCAGTAAGGTTGTATAGTTGAAGGTTATTTTATTCTACAGCGGTGCAGGATTCCATTCTGGTGTTGGGCTGTGATGTCATTGTTTTCACTGTGCAAATGAGGACATTTGTTTCTTAAAGTAAAGGGCCACTTTTGCTGACCAAATGTTTATTATTAACAACTAATTTTGAGATTTTAATAATTCACGAAAATAATCTAACCTTCACCTTTCATCTTACTTCCAGGGTAAAAGGAAGTTCGTTGACTCAAAAATTTTACCTTTAATACCAAACACGTTTATGTGATAAGGAATGTATACTTAGAGAAATGTTTTCTCGCCAGGGGTGGTTTAACAAGCGAGACTAAACGCATACTTTTCCCATTTTGCTTTGGATAGGAGCTCTCAGAAATATTTTAAAGAAAATAGTATATTATGTCAAAATTAAATATGTAATGTATTAAACCGACAAAATTGTTTTTTATAATTTTGTTTTTTTTAAGAAGTTCAAAATCAAAGGCATACATGATGAGCTTTTTGTTTAAATTTTTAATTGCAATTTTTTTACAAGTGTTTATTGTAATTTGAGTTATTACAGTGTCTCTGGTTGTGGGTTAAAAAAAATGAGCACTATTCACTCGAAATCTGGAAATTCACTGTACATTTTGGAAATATTTATAGTATTTTGTCTTAGTATAAATTAGCTTAATACATTGCTTTTATGAAGATACAGCAGTCTTTATTTGGCAAAAAAATTAATAGGTTTTGTTATTCACAGGGCTGGTTTTCTAATGACATGTCATCTTATCATTGGTGCATTCTAGGAGAGAAATTACTAACTTGTAACTGTGTGTTTATCATGACATGTAGGTGATAGAAATTATAATTATGTGGTCATTTTGTCTTTTTTTGCCATTGTTTAATTTTTAGGCAATTTTTTTGGGCCTTTGCATCATTTTTACCCATACATACATTTAAAATACATATAGGTCATTGTTCTCTTATTTTGAAGTCATTTTCAAGGAATTTTTAGGTCATCAGATTCTAAGGCATTGTCATTTATATTAAATTCAGTATTAATATTGTTGTGAAAAGTATTTTTTTCTTCTTTCCCCAATGTATAACTAAAAATGAAACATGTTTTTGAATAAATGAGTAAACGTGTTTTAATTGATTCAGTTTACTGATTTTGTAAATTTGTCTAATACATGTACATAATGGAAATTTAAGCTGTGGGTTCCGGAGCCCCGTTTCCTCTGCCAATGGAAGGGTCGTTTGTACTTGGTATGGGGGGTCAACCTGGCTCTGTCGTGCCGAGTGGCCTGGGGAGGGGGAGGGGGCGG